TGTTTGGCGGGGTACAAACTATTTAGAATATATAAATTAATAGTCACTATGTGTAATGAATGAGAGAGAGATAACGAGAAAGTAGACGATGTATTATTGGACGCTACACATAAAGTATAAAACGTAGGTATTCAACGACCGAGAGACGCGCTGTTAGGTGTGTTTTCGCGATGCGCAAGCGCGCGACGTTTAAGCCTCGCCCACCACACTCGTCGTCGGCGACCGGGCCGACGATTGACATCCGCGAAGTTGGCCCACCCACTTTGGCTTAGAGGTTCAAAAACTTCACCAAAAGTAAGGCACTATAAGTATGAGTATTCTCATCCTCCATTTTGGTTCCAGGCGCGCCCGGTGGTCGAGTTGTCGGGTGCGGACCGGTGGTCTGACGGTCCGTGGTCGAACTGGAACCAAAATGGCGGATGAGAATACCTACATCTATAGTGCTCTACCAAAAGTTCAACACGGCATAGTAGCGTACTCAGGATTTTAGTTCGGTTAGGGTTTCACCTGAGTAAATAATTTACATTATTTTTTTCTAAATAGTTTTAGTAATTGGTTATAACAAATTATAATTAGTCTCAAATGTAGTCTACATTAAGAACACTCGAGTGTTCAATCTTGACACCTTTGGTCATCTATAGAGCCTCTTCGGGTCGTATAGTATGTGGTAATTATCGATGGACGGTGATACATGATGATACACCATACGACGGTTATGACAAATGTTTAGCAATGTTCTAAATCAGCCAAAAAACTGAAACTATGATTATCCACGTATTTGTCATATTTAACAATTTATATTATATCTATTAAAAATTACCAACAATTGATCGACTTTGTGTATTTAAATGGTTTTATTTTTTTGTCAACGTAAGAAATTTCAGGGGGGGGTCAGAACCCTGGAACCCTACCCCTGCGTACGCCACTGCAACACGGTATAATATACTATATAGTACCTACTTGCGAAAAACATCAAGACCTATAAAAACGATTTTATTTTCGCAAAATAACTTGTAATATCCTCAAAATACCTTATAATGGTAAATATCAAATTTTAATTCTCGTAAGGAATTATGGAAATGAGTTTGGTGATTAAAATAGTGACTCGCAAATTCTGAAAGTGGACTCGAAAATTCTCGCAAATAACACACTGTAGTAAGCAAGTTACTACGTGACAATAAATCATAAATCACGAGTTTATAATATATAAGTTATTATAATATATAATAGGTCGGCATAACCTGCAGATATTAAGGACAATAGGGTCAAAATAGGCGGTTGTCATATTTGACAGGAATACTGGACGCATACGATGAAATTAAATTATTAAAGAGTAAAATGACTAATCGCATAAACTAGTAATACCTATACATTCAATCGTAAATGCGTGGGCTAGAATGATGACCACACAAATCACATCCGTGAGAACCAAGATACCGTATCTGTAGGCGAGGGGCACGGGGAACTTCATATATAAGGGAGCCCGAATCGGCCTGTATTCAGACGTGTACTACCACCCATTAGTGCAAGCACCTTCACGCCACTCTGTACAGCAATGTTTGAACTTAGTAAAATTATCGAAGTGTAATAATAAAATTCACAATAATACAACAACTGTTATATTATTCATTCATCAACCACGACTATATATTATCTGAAGAAGTGTCTGCGACCTGCAACATTAACGTACTGGTAGCCACTTGTCTACTATTATTACTACAATAGTGGGTACCAAGTACCCAGAACGTTACAACACTATCGTTTGATACTAATTTCAAAGTTGTAGGGCAACATGGGTGGGCCAACTTCACGTTCGAACATTGGATTTTGTGTGTAAAGGGTCAACTCGCAAATCTTGAAAATGAACTCTCAAATTCTCGCAAATCGCGACGCATCTTTTAGTACAAATTTCGAAATTTTTAGGTGCCATGGATGGGCTACGTGAACTTGACCCGCCAATTCTTATTTTTTTTTGTACCTAGCTCAAAAACGGCTAACTCACAAATTCTAAAAGTGGACTCGCAAATTCTCGCAATTAACTGGCAAACTTTTGGGGAAGATTTTGAACCGCTAAGCCAAAGTGGGTTGGTCGTGGGCCAACTTCACGCACGTCGATTGTGCTCTTTCGGAGAGACGTTTATTATTTTCTCAACCTTCGTATCTGGCGCATAGCTTAAATATAAAATTCATACACGTTACACCCGTACATTTCCACAGTATAATTTTTTTAATGTTCGCGCGTACTTAACTAACCTAACCTGTATTTATTGCATTTTAAGATACTTAGGTACTCTATAAAAAATATATACAATACACTAATACAGTAAATAATATCTAGTTTATAACAGTAACTGAAATATCTAAATATTAGTTTAGTAATTATATTTGGTACCTATTGCAGGCATTAGTATTTACTACTGCAGTATGTTTTTCCAAAAAAATTACATTTGAAAATGTCATTGCATGTACCTATCTATATAAAATATGACAATATAAGCTAAAAGTTGATTGCATACACCATTATAGTATATACCACACAAAATATATTTTTTACCATAGCTTAAATCGTTCTACAAACTTTGTTACTTTTCTCATTAAAAATATTTTACGCCGAATATTTGATTTTGAAGAATATTTAAACACAACCAAAGGAATATTTTTATAGTCTTACTTTTTATTTACTTACATACCTATTATATATTTTATTTTATTATATAAATTTATACCTAATATAATCAACTGTAATTATTGTACCTATGGTTACACTCTACAGTCTACAGTGTATATTATGCAATTATATCATAATGTACAGTTGATTATATTAGGTAGGTATATATTTATATTTAAATAAAATATATAATAGGTATGTAATCAAATAAAAAAGTAAGAGTATAATTAATATTCTTTTTGTTGTGTTCAATAATACTAAATCATTTAAAAATTTCATAAATTATATTATAAAAAAATAACCAATGCCAATTTTTAATAACTTAATTTTTATTCAATTAGGTAACTACCTATATGTTCAGTGGCGGAACTAGGGGGGTGAAGCCGGGGATTGATCCCCGGGCGTAAAATTTTAGTGGGCGTAATTTTTCTTTAGTTCTTTATTTAATGCTTGGTGATAGAAGTTAAGTAAACATTTTTATTTAACATTATTTGTTTATGATGTTGTAGTGATGACGTTGAAATTAATGAAAAAAAAAAAATAAAGTTAATGGTATTATGAATAGTTTCGTATTAGTATAAGTATATACTAGTATACTGGCATTAGCATACCTACTGCAAGCATATACAACTAATATACTATAATTATTAAGATTCTGAGTAAAAATGTAACTAGTAACTATACCTAGGCATTTATTGATGCTGTGTTTTCGTTAAAATTTCTGATACCTACACAATAACTGTTATAAGATTATCAATCAACGTACGATACTTATATTATATCTGTATATTGAAAATGATGTTAATATATAGTTTATAATATTATATATTATAATATTTACCAAGATAGTTATACATTTGTTTATGTTTAAAAAAAAAGATTTGATTTTAAATATTTACTTTTTCATTTTTTCTATTATAAATTGTTTAATTAAATACAATTTTTACTGGCCTAAATTGTGTACCCTAATCAGAATAAAAGATTTTATATTTTACCATAAAAATCTATTATAATTGAAGGCTGAGGCGCATAGAACCAAAACAGTAAAAGGGTTTATAATTTTTATACAGGATAGGTAGGTAATTAAAGTTTTGATTATTTTTCAACATTTATATATAACTAATATTATTATTATTTCTAATAATAAATACAATTAAGTAACCACTACAGTATTTCCAGTAATTAAAAATGTATCAACAATATGTTAACTAAGTTTTTAAATTTAAAGTGTTTTTGGTGTGAATGTGTGATAGTTTATTAGTATAAACTTGGTTACACCACAGTCCACAGAATATATTAATTACTATATATCATTATGTGTTTAAAAGTTAATAAGTATGTTTGTAATTTTAGTTCCAGTTATGATAAAACAATTGTAGGGAATGATTTTGTATATTCAATCTTGGTCTATGATTGGGCTTAATTTTAATATTTTCCCCGGGCGTAAAAATTCTTAGATCCGCCTCTGCACATATAGTAGTATACTTTAGAAGATTCAAGTACCCACGAATAATATTATTCAATCACAACAAAATAACTAAAATAGTTATTCTAAGTATTTTAGTATGTAATTTCGTCCAAATTTGAATTTAAAATGTCTGTAAAAAATAACTGTGTTCATATATTTTTTAGATTTTTTGGTTACAGTATGAACTATTTTTGAGAATTTTTGTTTTAAATTTGCAATCCTTAACTATAAAACTGAACATTTTATGATTTAATAATTACAATGATTGATAATTTTCGGGATTTCGTTAAATTTTGTCAAAATTCGATCTTTAAATGATTATAAAAAAAAATTGTAACTATGTATTTTTAATATTTTTCAATTGCTATTGTAACAATATATCAGGAGCCTTGTATTAATTGTGCTTATGTTGTTGTAGTTGTCAACACTGATATTATTATTATTATTATTATTATTATTATTATTATTATGTACACACACGCGAGCACCGTCAACCGTTATGCATCTCAGCACTCTCTTTGTATCTTTGTATCTTTGTATTCATTTGTAAGTTATAAAACATATTAATAAAACTACATAAAACATGGCGCTGTGGCTAGAACTTGTTTGTCTATTGCTATAATTTGTAAATACACTACAAACTCAAAATGGATTCAAAAATACCAAAAGAAATGAACTTCAGCGGCAATATTGAAGCAAATTGGAAAAGCTGGAAACAACGACTGTCATTATACCTACTAGCAAGTAATAAAAACACGTGTTCGGACGAAACAAAAACGGCGATATTACTCACGTTACTTGGAGAAGAAGGCATCAATATTTATAATACATTTACTGAAAAACAAATCTATGACGAGAAGAAAGTCCCAATATTTCAAAAAGTAATTGCGGCATTCGATGAGTACTGCCTAGGAAAAAAAAATATTGTATTTGAAAGATTTAATTTTCTTAAATACAAACGCCAACACGGACAATCACTAGAAAACTTCATCACACAATTAAAATTATTAGCAGCATCGTGTGAATATGGGCAACTCACAGACTCTATCATAAGAGATCAAATTATTATTAATACTTCAGATGTAGTACTCCAAGAACAGTTAATCAATAAGTCTGATTTATCATTAGAAAAAACTATAGAAATCCTTAAACAATCGGAAAATGTCAAACATCAAATTGAAATAATAAACAAAGGGGAAAAAGAAGAGTCAGAATATCCCCATGTCGATGCAATAAAAAGAAAAAACAAATATAATACAAATAGAAATAAAGTTACACAAGCAAACTTCCATTCCAGTCCGGCCTTTGGGAAACAGTGCAAGAAGTGTGCTAAACCCAACCATTTCGCAAATGTATGCCGATCGAACAAAATGGTTCAAGAAATAGCAGATGAAGAATGTGCAGATGAAGAATGTGCAGCGATCAACAGCTTGTTTGGAGTCAGCGAAATCATTGTGCCCCAGACACATAGCATTCAACAACCATTGTTCGAGGAGATTAAGGTAGAAAATAACTATATTAGATTTAAGCTAGACACCGGTTCTCAAGTTAATTTAATACCTCTGAATGTATATAAAACACTTAATATAAATAAATCCTGGAATAGTACAACTATTAAACTTGAGGCTTATGGTGGATATAAATTCATGCCGTTAGGCTCAATAAGATTAAAGTGTGTAGTTAATAATATTATGGCATGGGTGACATTCTTAATAATAAATAATAGTACCATACCTATCCTGAGTCTAGAGGCATGTGAGAAATTTAATCTAATCAAAAGACACGAAAAGTGTATCAGCATGATCACACAGTGCACTAGCCCAAAAGACAACTTTTTGATAGATAATAGTAGTATTTTTAAAGGGATGGGAACATTCCCGGGCGAACATACAATTAAAATAAACCCCAATAGTCAAGGATCTATCAAACCTGCGAGGAGATTACCTCAAACATTATATAAAGATGTACAGGTAGAACTTAATAAATTACTAAAGCATAAAATTATATCTAAAGTTGAGGAACCCAAAGAGTGGGCTAGCAACCTCGTGATAATAAGAAAACCAGATAAAAAATTGAGACTTTGCATAGATCCATCAGAACTTAATAAGTCATTAAAACGAGATAACTATTTGATTCCAACATTTGAAGAAATCCACTCTAAACTAATAAATAAAAAAATATTCACAGTGTTAGACATTAAAAAGGGATTTTGGCATGTGAAACTTGATAGTAAATCATCAGACCTATGTACATTCAGTACACCGTTTGGCTATTTCAAATTCAACAGACTTCCTTTTGGAATTGCAACAGCCCCCGAAATATTTATAAAGTTAAATCAAAAATATTTTGGGGATATAGATGATGAAAACATCATAATTTACTTTGACGATATATTAATTGCCACTACAGACGAAACATCTCATGACAGAGTATTAAAAAAACTAGTAGATAGGGCTAAAGCGCTAAACATTAAATTTAACAAAGATAAATTACAATTCAAAAAAACAGAAATAAAATATGTTGGCCATATTTTCAATGAACAAGGAGTTTCTCCTGATCCAGACCAAATAAAAGCTATAGTGAGTCTTAAGGAACCTACATCGAGAGTAGAATTACAAAGATTAATAGGCATGTTCAACTACCTTAGAGAATTCATACCAAATATGTCCAAAATTATCAGTCCTCTCAGAGAGTTACTAAAAAAAGACACAATATGGGTATGGGAAAAGAGACATCAAGTGATGAATTACAGGAACTTGTAACAACATCACCAATACTAACACACTTTAATCCAGATAAAGAAATAACCATTCAATGTGATGCTTCAAAGGACGGGTTGGGATGTTGTCTTCTCCAGGACAAAAAACCCATAGCTTTTGCTTCACGTAGCATGTCAGAAACCGAAATATCGTATACACAAATCGAGAAAGAATTTCTTAGCTTAATATTTGCATGTAGGAAATTTCATTACTATATCTTTGGTCGCACAATAAATGCACTAACTGATCATAAGCCTTTAGTGTCAGTCATGCAAAAGGATGTAATAAAAATACCATCAAATCGCTTACAGAAAATGAGACTAAAACTATTAGAGTATGACATTAGATTAAAATACCTGCCAGGAAAAAAAATGCATATAGCAGATCTATTATCTAGAGATTACATGCAAGAGACCTTTACAGAGGAATTTGATACTGGGGCTACGGTGCATTGTATAAATAGATTTTACAACAATAATCTTCTAAATATTAAAACAGAATCTGAATTAGACCCAGTTCTTAATAAGATAATCGAGTACTATTACCAAGGTTGGCCAAATAGGAAACACATAGATAAATCAGTGCAGCTATACTATAACTTAAGAAACGAAATAATTATTGAAAATGGTATAATATATGTCGCAGATAAAATAGTGATTCCTACTAAGCTAAGGCCCCTCATACTTAAACTGCTACATGAAAGCCATTTAGGATTAAATAAAACAAAATTAAGAACAAAACAAATTATTTATTGGCCGGGGATGTTTAATGAAATTGAACAATTTATAAATAATTGCAACACTTGCAATAAATTTCAAAATTCAAATAAAAAAAGCCCTCTAATTCCTCATGAAGTTCCAAATTACCCATATGAAAAGGTAGGAGCAGATATTCTATCCTTTGAGGGTACAGACTATTTAGTTATTGTTGACTATTACTCAAAATGGTTTGATTTAATTAAATTAAAATACAAGACTGCTAGTGAAATAATTAAAAAAAGTAAACAAATATTTAGTACACATGGTATACCAAAAACCTTCATAGCTGACAATATGCCGTTTAACTCAAGTGAATTCATAACTTTTTCTAAAACTTGGAATTTCACAGTTGTTACATCTAGTCCCCATCATTACCCACAAAGCAATGGCCTAGCTGAAAGGACAGTACAAACTAGTAAAAAATTACTTAAAAAAGCCCTAGAAGAAGGATGTGATGTAGAGGCAATGCTTCTAGAATATAGATGCACCCCAATAATCAGTCTGCAAGCATCTCCAGCAGAACTATTATTCAGTAGGATTTTAAGAACTAAATTACCAATAGCTAACAAATTATTAGAACCCAGACTCCAACATAAAGTACAAACTAAACTAAAAGCATTCCAGCAAAAATACAAATCCAATTATGACAAAACAGCTACCAAAAAAGAAACACAATTTAAACCTAATACAAATATATTAATACAAAATAATAAAGTGTGGTCACCGGGGAAGGTCATAGCTAAGGCAAATGCACCCAGATCATACCTTGTTGAAAACAATAATGGTACAATTATCAGAAGAAATACTAAACACTTAAAAAATACTAAAATTAATGTTACAGGAAACAGTAAGGAGGGAAACATAGAGGGGAAATCAAAAGTGAAAAATAAGTCTAACAAAAGTGTCTTGGTGAAAGAGCTATCAACCAGACCCATAAGAAAAAAAAAAGTACCTAACAGATTTAAAAATTTTGTAATGTAATTTAGCATAAACCATTAAAACCAATGTAACCTATTATATACCTGTCAAACTGTACTATTATTATGATCATTATATTATGTGTTGTATTATTATTATTATTATCATCATATTCAAACTGTATTACTAATAATTTTGTATTATAACATTAAATACTATGTAATATTGTATTCAATTATATTTGTAAGAAAAAGAGAGATGTTGTAGTTGTCAACACTGATATTATTATTATTATTATTATTATTATTATGTACACACACGCTCGCACTGTCAACCGTTATGCATCTCAGCACTCTCTTTGTATCTTTGTATCTTTGTATTCATTTGTAAGTTATAAAACATATTAATAAAACTACATAAAACATATGTAATTCTACTTAAAAATATCTACAGTTATTCGTTTTTGAATTACAACAAAATAAGGAAATCGCTGCATGAGAAATCCAGGGAATATCCAATGTTATAAAAATTTGAATTTCAAACGCTCATAAAAATTCAATTTGACTTTCCGTTAGAAATTTTTTTATTGATAAAGGTAGACAAACTTATGAGTAATCTTGTATTACATTTTAAAATCTTAGATTTAAAAAGAACAATTTTTACGAATTCTTAACTCAAAATAATTTGATAATTTTCGTGGTTTTACCATATTTTGTCAATTTTTGAACTTTAAATGCTTATAAAAAAAAATTGTGACAAAGGATTTTTAATATTTTTCATCTGCCTTTGAAAAAATATACTAGGAACCTTGTATTAAATTTTCAATCTTTTTTAACCAACAAATAAAATTTTATTGATGTTTTTAGAAAAAAAACTAAAAAATAATGGAAAATGAAAATGTGCCTGAACAGTTCAAAATAAATCAAAACATTTTGAAAATGTTATCGTGTATAGAAAATGCTAATATAAACATACAGTCAAAATTTCATGTACCTACGGTCATTTGTTTAAGAGTTGCACCAAAAACCAAAATCGAGTTTTCCGTTTAAAAATTCCCGTATTTCCTTAATTTTTTTTTTCACGCTGGTTTTGAAAACTACTGGGAAATGTTCACTTTTGATCCCCCAAAGTACCAACTAGATTCACTTTTCTATCAGAAAAGCTACTGTTGAAGATAATCCAAGCACTTTTACTGTCCTAAAACGTGATGACAGACACAAAAATAAAAAAATAAAAAAGTAAAAAACAAAAAAAAAACACACACATCATTGTAAAATCAATACATTCATCGTTCCACTCAGAATCTAAAATAAAACATCATATTTATGAAATATTTTTCAACATATACTCCTCAACATAGATAAATTATATCAATCAAATTTATTATTTTGCAATCGGCGTCGC